CCCCAAGGAACCCTTACCTGGTTCAGTTTTAAATGCATCTCGCTGGGAAGTCAGTGTTGTCAGGCTCCCCTGTGAGTCTAAAGAAAGCTTCTAACCTCAGGGGCTCTGCACAGTTGAGTTGGTTCCAACCCCTGGGGAGCCCATGTGCACTTGAACACTAGCCCAAAGGTTGGTGGTTCAAACCCACCTACAGGCGTCTTGGGAAAAAGCCTGGTGAGTGGCTTCCAAACACCACATATGGGGTCCCCAGGCATCCCAGCTGCTAGTCCCCCGTTTTTAGGTCAACAGAGATGTTAAGAAGCTGACCTGGAATCCTTCGTGCTAAGGAGCTTGCAGGTCATGTGATTGCCCATGGTGGGCAGCTTTTGTTGACTGCTCTCAGACGGCTAGGGTGTGAGTGTCCCCCGATGCCTTCTCATGACTGGGGTACCACTGTTGGAAGTCACCAGGCATGCTTCAGAGGAGGCCAAGGGCAGTTGAGCACAGTCATCGGCCACCTTGTTTCCATAGCCCATCAACGCTCAAGGTGCATTGCTCTGGGCGTGGCCCAAGACTTCATCAATAGGGAGCCTTTCTGGAGTTACCTCCTTGGAGCCTCACACCCTGTCTGGGAAGGGGCTGGAGCAGGTGTGGAGGTAGCCGCTTTGTGGGTGAGCACTGAGATCCTGGGCTGTTTGACACCCCTCGGCCTTGTCCGATGTACTGATCCCAGACCCAGGTGCCCGTGCTATGGCTGCCCCTCTCCCACGCATGCCCCCCAAGGGAAGATAAAACACCCATTTGGAGACTTGCGGGGAGGGAGGCGGGGCACAGTATCGGGGACAGAGCCGAAAGGTGCCTAGTGCCAGAAAAGGGCGGTGTGCTCTGGGTCGAGCTGGGAAATCTGGGTTTTCCAGGAGGTTTGTACTTGGGCCTCGTCTGTAGAAGGGCTATCAGCGCCAGGCCCCAGGAAGGCCTTTGTCCGGGCCGTGTCTTGAAGAAGGACACCTGGGCTAAATCCAAGCAGAAGGTTCCGTTTCGTAGACAGTTGACTGACCCCCAGAGGATGAGCAGGCCCCTGTGCTCGGCACAGCGAGCTGAGGGAAAGCCAGGCCCCCCCAGCAGAGGGAAGACAGAGAGAGAAGTCACTGTGAGGGGGCGTATCCTGGCACTGTGGGAGGGGTGAGCAGGAGGCTCCCCTGTGACCCACATTGACGGTCAGTCCCGTGCTGGATGCCCCTCAACTCCGAGCACCCTGAGGAGGAGTGGGGCTGGCTGGGAGCCAGGAGTATGGTACAAACCGAGGCAGTCCCACTGCACTCCGCTGAGTCACCCTGGAGCTGTGAGCCCCCGGGGCAGATCTGGTGGGGCGTGGAGGCCTCCGAGCCTGCCCGTGGTGCCAGGAGATAGGACACACCCGCGGTGAGCTGGCCAGCAGGGTCTGTGGGAGCCATGACTCCCTTGGGCAGAGCTCAGGGACCTGTGGGTGTCCCTGGCTCTCGGGGGGTGACGCCTGGAGGGCGTGGCTGGCCGAGCCGACAGATGCTCCGGTGTGACCCTCAAAATAGACTGTAACATCATCCCAGCGACAGAAGGCTCCGCTCATGTGATGGGTGACCCTACCAAGACCAGCAAGCCTGGGCTGGAGCATTGCCGGGGCCAGGTGGTGGTGGTGGTGGGCAGCCGGCAGCTGGTCACAGCTAGCCTGCTGCCTGGCTCACTGCCCCCTGCCACCACCACGCTCCTCGACTGAGGCCGTATCTGGACAGGCCAAAGTCTTGGTTCTGGCCAGTCCCAGCCTGGCCTCCATGGGGTACCAGGTTGGAGCCCTGCCTGTGAGGAGATTGGCCCAGAGAGGAGGTGGATGTTGTCCGGGCACGTGACCTCGGAGTGGCGTGGAAAGAGCCCAGTGCATGGCAAGTGCCAGGCCCTGAGTGGCCCAGAAGCAGCACTTCCACCCATAGCTGAGGGTAGGGGGCTCCCTTCCCAGAGGGGTTCTGGGGAAAGGAGTGAGAAGTGCATGCTTGGGCTGAAAGGAATAGTATGGCAAACACTGTGGGCCCGGGATGTGAGCCAGCCAGGGGCCAGATTAAACCCTCCGCCTGAGCTTAGCCTCCATCCTGTGGGCCATGTCTTTGAATGAGAACACTGTCCAGATTTTTATGCCCAGATGTTACCACCTCATGGGGCAGAATCCCTCCAAGTGATTGTCCCCAATGAGGCTCTGAGAGCCACCGAGCCACTTGAGAGCTCCCCTGCCACGCTCGTGGACCATGGAGCATGTGAACTGAGACTCTCCAGCCTACTGGGGCTCCGCCTTTTCAGCTTAGAGTCCCC